TAGGTTGGAGGCTGGACGCCATCGCTGTTAGGTTGGAGGCCATCGCTATTGTTGTGTTCTTCCCTGCTAACCTGAGCGTCCGCTTTTCCCCGCTTTGAAGAAACATCTGCATTTGAGATCAACAGGGTCCCTTTTTTTCCGCAACGCAAGATCTATCAAGATCTCATGCATCAGGGACCTGTGTCCCTTGCTTCTCCACGTTGCTGCGGGCATTGCTGTGTGACACTGGTCTGTCAAAATCCACAAGGATTCACTATGGTCATCGTCGAGCACCACGAGATCGCGAGAAGGGAGACACGAAGCCCTCCAGAACAAAAAAGTTGGAAACAAAGCGAAGCATAGCAGAGTGCTCTGATCAAATATTGATCTTGCCAAAGCGCCTAACACTATCTGTTGCATTGTGTCACCACACGAGGATGCCTTTGCCATCTCAGGCCGCTTGCCTTTGCCTTTGCCTTTTGCATCCTCCTGTTTTGATCAAGCTGACACGCAGTGGTTACACATGGCTGTTGCCTACCAAAGGCACGATCTTCGCAACCAACTCAAAAGTCATAAACCTTTTTGGTTTGAGGGGCGAGGGCATCGCTACTAGGGGCTCCTGGCATCGCTACTAGGAGCAAGAAGCTACTAGGGGCTCCTGGCCATACTACTAGGAGCCATGTTCGCTACTAGTAACAAGAAGCTACTAGAAGCTCCCTTTTTGGTTCCCCTGAGGGGGCAAAACAGTTGAAAGTCCCAAAAGGTCGGCCCCAAGATGTGGAAATTAATAGCTTCTTGTTACTACTAGTAAGGCACTTGTTTCTACTAGCGATGCACTTGTTACTAGTAGCTTTAAAAAAACTGAAGACCCAAAATGATCCAAGGTAACTTGATGTAACTTGTATAAAGGCGTCTCTCTCTTAAAAGATTTGCTTTAAACCGTTGATGCTTCCAGATCTTGCATCATGCCATGCACAAGCGGCTGTTTGAGGAGGGTGGTTTCAGAGGGCACTCTGACCAGAAGACAAGAGACACATGATCAAAGAACTACTGAGTACTGACTGCCTGGTGTTGGCAAGCTTCAAACAGCAAAACTGCTTGGATCTTGCAGAATGTCCATCAAATAAGGATCAGGATAGTTCAGTACTTCCGATGTTGCCAAATGTGCTTGTGTGTGCTTTACGTGCGTGTCCGCATCTCCGTTCCTATTGCTGGTTTGAGTGACGCGATGGCCTCCTACCTACCTAGTAGCGATGACCTCCAACCTAATAGCGATGGCCTCCAACCTAATTGTCAATCTCGATGACCGTAAAACTTCACGTTTAGTTTTGTGGTTCCCTCGGTTTTGTCCATCTGTACAGCGAAGGCTACAGTCTTGTTCTGTGTGGAGCTTCTTGGCTCTGATTGTGTTAACCAGACGGCTAGCCCAGTAGCTTCGACACATTGGGTGGTGATTGATGATACAAATAGTGAGTTACACAAAGCAACGAACCCTGAGGCTCAAGGGGGATGGAACGAAAGCTAGCTACCAAGGGCATCGACTGAAGTGGATCGACTGAAGTCAGACTCTGACGTGTTGCACCCTGAAAACCAATGGAGACCTCGTTGCACCCTAGCAAGCCTATGGCACGAAAAGCCACTGAGCTCTCCAAACAGTTGATTTTAAAAAAATGTCTTGCTCCTAGTAGCGTCCTTGCTCCGTTCGTAGCGATGCCAGGAGCCCCTGTAGCACTAGTAAGCCCAGGAGCCCCGTTCGTAGCGTTCGAACGCTCCTAGTATTGAAACAGAATTATGGTAAAGATGCCTTTGGAAATAAGAGAGGACTAGTTGTATGAGACAGAACCGATCTGCAAAGACGGAAGAGCTGAAAAGACCGTGTCACAGAAAATGCCATCAGACCCGCGGCCGCAATAGTGCGTAAAGAGACAGAGCTGACAAATGTTGGAAAGAGCATCATCTGAGAGGAAGCATCAAAAGACGTGCTAAAGAAAATGCAAAAAAAAACATACAATCTGAATACAATATATGTCACGAAAAAAGTAAAACTAACAAGTAATACTGTATGGCACTGTATGGTACATCTTCACAATGTGCACTGCATCTTCAGTCACAAGCTTTCCCTGTGTCGTGTTTGAAAGACAAAATAGTAGGGGAGGGAATAGAATCGAAGCATTCACAAGCACCGTAGGCCTGGGAAGACCTACACACAGCCAAACAAGCAGTCGAAGCCCACTGTACTCAGCAAAATGGGAAGACCTGTATTGTGTTGGCAATGCCGTCCAGCATTTTGGAGGTAAACAAAAGAAGTAGTGATGGCCTCCAACCTACCAGCGATGGCCTCCCACCTACTAGCGATGGCCTCCAGCCTAATACCAATGGCCTCCACCCTAGTAGCGATGGCCTCCAACCAAAAAAAGACAAGACGCTATTAGAAACAATGTTCGCTACTAGTAACAAGTGCATCGCTAGTAGTAACAAGTGCCTTACTAGTAGAAACAAGAAGCTATTAGAAACAAGTGCCTTACTACTAGTAACAAGTGCCTTACTAGTAGTAACAAGAAGCTACTAATTTTACAGTAATTCTAATAGTTTCTTGTTTCCACTAGTAAGGCACTTGTTACTACTAGCGATGCACTTGTTACTAGTAGCTCCTTAGAAACAATGTTTGGCATCTTCATCGACTGAAACGGCCAACGTCCCTGCTGCACCTCTTTTGGCACCTTTTCGCCGAGCCTAGGATCAAGTGCGGACGCGGAGGTCAAGGCCCACGGGTTCTTCTTGTTCCTAGTAGCGATGCCAGGAGCCCCGAGTAGCTTCTTGTTCCCCTTTATTTTTGTCTTTTGTTGTTTCCTTTGAACCCTTTCTTCTCAAATCATAGAGCTTGCTGCCCTCCAGCCGAGCCCTGCACCATAGCAATCGAGCCCGATCTTGAGCTTGCCGTTGCTTTTCTTTTTCGTCCTAGGCAGAGAAGCTAAGAAAATTAAAGAAAAGGAATCATTGATTGGTTCCTTTCCTAGCCAAAACAAATACAACTTGAGGTATAAGATATCTGTTTGTGCAACTGAGGCCGGGACAGAGGTCCATGTGTTCAGAAAAGGACCGGGTTGAGCCTATGAGTTGCCATCTTGCAAGATAAGTTGTCAGCTCAACAGGTTTGCATCTACATGGAATGTTGGACGTACTCATTCATCAATATCGTAAACAGTCTGAATGCTCATCTAATGTTAACACTCTTTGCTGTCCTGTATTTCTTTGAGAAGGGTTTGCTGCTAATGAACATGCGTCCAATCTAAGGACGGGACAAGCTTGACAAGAGGCTCCCTGCAGCCAGCATGAGAAAAACAATATGAACGAGGGCAAAAGGAAACTCAGCTCGTTCAAGCAAGCAGCCAATGCGTATCCCCAAGAACGGCCAATGCTCATTCCCCACCCGTGTCTGGACCAAGAGCCACCCAGAATCCCGACCATGAATCCCAAGCAGCGCCGTGTATTCCCATCTAGTAACAAGTGCCTTACTAGTAGTAACAAGAAGCTACTAGTAACAGGTGCCACGCTTCTAGTAACAAGTGCCTTACTAGTAGTAACAAAGTCCTGCAACCCCATCTTGGGATCCGTAACCAGTAGTGATCGCACAATGACAACAATTGCGACAGCAATCTGGTCGAGGCCGTGTGACCAATCAGGTGGATTGTACAAGTCAGAAATAGAGCAACAACTAACAACACTGGTACTCAAGAAAACCATGGCAAGCAAGAATGACAGCAGTGCATTGTCACAATGGCAAGAGCGACAACAGGCATAATGACAACGTCCACGACTCAATGACAAGATCAACGACAAAACAATGGCAATAGCGACAAAATACAACAAACATCATGACAACATCAGACTAGGATACCCAGCAGAATGGTGGCACAGCCTGATCGATATTGACAGACTTGACAGAAAGAAAGGCGATCCTTTAGAAAGTGAGTCCTCAAGTGTCCTTTGGTTTTCAAAAGAGTCCCCGAAGCAAATCAATCATGCAAAGGAAGCTTCCGAACCTAGTAGCGGAATAAATCGTAGCTACCAGTAGCTACCTCTCCACAGCCACGTCTCCAACCTACTAGCGATGGCCTCCACCCGAATAGTGTTTAGCTAACAAAAAGCAAAAAACGCAAGTCTTTCGAAAACGCACCTCTCCCGGTCTGGACCTGAAAAAACGCAATTCAAGCAAATAAGCTGCATGGCGAAAGGCAGCTGCAAAGCGGCGGGGCCTTTGTCCGGACCAATCTCAAGTGGCCTGCAAAAACAGCTGCCACAGCAAAACGAGTGTCTTGCCATCTCAGTCTGAGGAACAAAAAGAAGGTAAGTGACCCCCGTGAAAAGGCCCCATATAAAGAAGGTGTCATTGAAGGGTCCCTTGCCTTCCTTCATCTGTATCTTCTGAGATCCAAGCGGTTTTTGAGGACCGAACACC